GAAATAACCATGGTGAAGAAAACCCACATCTCTTAAGCCTAGCAGGAAGACAGTTGCACTGTACTCTTTTTCTCAGGCCTTTTTACAATGAAGAGAGCATCCTGTTGAGAGATAAGTAACCACAGTAAAGCACCTGTGAAGAAGTGGTCTTCAATCATGAAAGGTTTGCAAAATTCCAAACAGGAAAAATTAAGCAGGGTTTGGCTGTCGTAGGAAAAATGTCTCTATCATGAATTTCCATAATGTTTACAGTAATACATATAAAGCATATATGTGAGAGGTGACTGCAAGCCAGTAAACTGCCTGGCACCATCTTTGTAATCTCGAGCTAAAAGGAAAATGAACTTGAAACAGAAATTAAACATTTACATAGATTGATAGAGAGCAAAATGTCTAGACTTGCAGATTAACCAATTCAAGTGGGGAACAAATAGTCAAATTATGTAGGATAATCTGTATGAAACACAGGGATATTCAGATCTGTGGAGATGACGATCATATGGGTAACTTTATCTCTTAAGCCAGTAAGCCAAATAACAACAAAGGAGATTTTTTAAAAAGAAAAATGACATGAAAAACAAAATTCAGCATTCAGAAGAGATATGAAAAAATAAAAACAATATTTACTAATAATATAGTTTATCTTGCATTTCTGAAAGAACTTTAATAAAGAAAATAGTCTGGAATAGAAAACTAAAAATAGAATGTTACATTAATTTTTTTTCTAAAAAAAAAAAATTAAATTGGCATGTGTAAATTTAGGCTGCTATGAAAGTGCATGAAACGAAAGTAGATCTATTTGAGTCTTCTCAATTTTTTTTATCAAGCGTTCATGATTCTCTTGTTAATTTTTATAAGCATAGGATCTGTGATTTTTAGAAACACAGAAGTGAAGGTGTTTATGCAGTGTTCATACAATTAAAACAGATTCCTGTTTGAGTGTACACAGCTGTGCATGGAAGTTACATAAATTATAATTATGAATATATAGGGCATAAGATGCACTGCATCATGTACACAATGGTGAGCATCATCATGGAGCAGGCTTTAAAGCTCATTATCTGCAGCAACTTTTGTACTGATGTCCGGATCATTTCCATTGAGATGTTTAGCAGATTTTTGCTGATAAATTAAAGCAATACTAATTTCTATTTAGAATTAATAACGAGATGACTGCTTGTTGATTGCAAAGAAATGTCAAATATTAATGCTTTCCTCAATATTTACAATTTGTGGGATAAATTGTGGGAAGTAGACAGGAAGTAATTATATTAAAGGGCATTAAATGAAAAGTGTGTACACAGCCATATTAGACTGGTATAAACACATCATTAAATCAGAATCTAAAGCCCAATTTTTTTAATGACATCTGACCATGACTTAGCAGTACAGTTATCCCCAGCTACTGATATTGATTAATGGGCACATATTATCATGTCTCAGTATTAAACATATTATCATGTCTGCAAGACAGGATTTGCAGTGAAACTGGGATTAAAAGATCTGTCATGCAACTGCACCTTAAGAAGAAGCGGTGTCTCAAATCTGGTCGCCAACCCATAGAACTTTATCACTCTACTGGTAGATCCTGAAAATGACAGAAGAACAAGTACACGGAAACGCATAGTGATGTGTGTATTTTATTTTTCTTGACCCAACTGCTGTTTTTAAATGTCAATATCCAGGTGCAAGCAACAATTCAAAATCAAAATGCTTTTGTGATGCAAAATTAATTTAAACATCCAGCAACTATAATATGGCTACTAAAATAAAGAAATCCGCTGTAAAACTAAATAAATTACTAAATACTCTTGACACGTGAAAGTGTAAAGCATGCAGCCCACAACCAATGTGGAAAGTTATTGCATATCATATTTAACAAATCGCTTACTACAAATCATATGCAATTTTGCTCACATGGATATTTGAATATTAATCAGGTGATGTCATTATGCTGCTGTGCTGTCAGCCAATTGTTGCATTGCATGGGTCCGTTCTTCGTACGTGGATTACTCAGTTAGCTGGATTTGGTTATTGACGATTTGAAATTATCCAGGGTCGTTTCGGTCTTCAAAACTGATTCGAGAGTTGTTGTCATAGCAACAGTTCTGGTAGCTCAAACCTAGTCGGAAGCAGGTTCGATTCACAATTAACAGGATTAGATCGGCTCAGTTCAAGCAAAGAAAATACAGAAAGTATGTACCCAAATCTTATATTTTCTTACAGTAGTAGTTATATACACTTGGGAAAATAGTAAATATTTTTAAACTATATATTTATATGTATATATATATATATATATATATATATATATATATATATATATATATACACACATACATATATACATACACTGTATATATATATATATATATATATATATATATATATATATATATATATTAATAAAACGTATGCAATCTGCACCCCCACAATGAAAGTAAAAAGACTGCCACCTGGTGGTGCAAAGAGAAAACATTGATATGAACTTTTTAGATCGCTTTAGTACAATTTGTGTATAACAGACATGCACAATATGTAACTTTTTAAAAAAGCAATAATACATTTATGCAGTCATAAACATGTTTTGACAGTTAATATGCCAGTGATTTGATGCTTCACAAAAGTTGCAAGATGCTTTTGTAAACATCCAGTTGTTCTTTACACCGATTAAAAAAACAGCTACTATAATTCTACTATATGGCTACTAAGGAAAATCCACTCTAACTGTAAAACTGAATAAATTGCTCTTGACACATGAAAGAGCCTATCATGCACACCACAACAAGGTGTAAAGTTATTGCGTATCATATTTAACAAACCGTTAACTGCGAATTCGATGTAATTTTGCTCACATGGATAATTGAATATTAATCAGATGATGTCATTACGCTGCTGTGCCGTCAGCCAATCGTTGCATTGCTGATCATGATTTCGAAGATCGATAGATCTGTCCTTCACAACACACACAGCGATCTCAGATCAGTTTATCCATACATTTTAATCTGATTCGCGAACTTGTTTAAAGAACCAAAATAGCGAGAGATCAGTTATCAAGATTAAAAGATCCAGGATCTGCCTAATCATCTTAGGTCATTTAAGCGAGGTTCGAAGAACGGACCCCTGATCATGATTTTGAGGACCAATAGATCTGTCCTTCACAACACATGCAGCGATCTCAGATTAGTTCATCCAGACATTTTAATCGTATTCAAAAACTTGTTTGAAGAACCAAATTAGCCAGAGATCAGTTATCAAGACTATGATCTGCCAAATCATCTTAGATCATTTAAGCGAGGTACAAAGAACGTACCCCTGGACTTTGCTAGTGTTGCACAGAAGCAAAACAGCAAAAATTCCCTTTGACCCAAAAAATGACATTTTCAGGGTATTATAAATGATGTGATTGGTATTTTGAGCTGAAACTTCACATACACATTATTGAGACATCATTGTTACTTATTTTATATCTTGTAAATAGAAGCAAAATAGGAGCCTTTTAAAACTTTCTTTTTAGTCACAATACATGGAACAAGACAAGGGTTGTTCCCTTTAAAATATTGCCTAACATGTAAAATGTAGTGCATGTTCTTTAAAGTATGCTGATATTATTTAAATGAATACAAGCTTATATTATTATTACATGAGGGTTTGTTTTATGGCACTCTTGTAGGTGCATCATCTTCAAGGATGAGGAGTGATGGCCAGTCACCTCTCTATCTGCGAGCCCCCATGAAAGCTCTCAGCCCTGTGGGGTCTATGTCTGCATTGCGACAGCATGCCAAAGGGCCACCAAGTGCACAAGTTGGGCACACTGAAGCAATGAGGAGGGTTCAGTCCCCAGGTTCCAAAAATGGTGTTGGATATTCAGGCTGCAGGACTGCTGTTGTCACCAGGCAAACGCCTGGAAGAGGCATGACGCCAGCTTCACCTTCTTCCAGAACTAGACTTCCACAGACTCCTAGAAGGTAACTCAAAACCAGATAAATACATCCCTGTCACACTCATTGTGAAAGTTAGGTGGAATTGATGTTGTTTTCTTTTTCTAACCATAGTAGGTCACTAGGGATGACCAAACCATCTGGCCACCTTACTGATGAATCCTGGAAAGATGGATGCTACTGAAGCTCGGAGAATTTTGTTTGTAAATTTCACAGAGAACTCCAGCGTGGTACCACTGCCTCAGAAGACACGGCAAAGGAAAATCAGCACAGAGGTCCTAAAACAAGAGTGATGATTAATAACAAGCCTCCATTGATAAGAGTAATAATGAATAACAATGGATCTGTTTCAGAGACTGGAATATAGATGGTTGGCTAATATTTGCTTGTAACATACCTTTTTTTCATGTGAAAAGTTTGAAAAAGTATGTAAACTTGAATAATGAAAAATTTTTACTCCTGTAGTTCATGTAATTTTTGTGACATGTCGAATTTAATTCTTAGATACTGTGGATAACCTGATTTTGATCCTGCATGTTTTTTAAACAAATGATCTGTCATTTCTATGTAGAAAAAAGAGACAATATTTTAAATGATGAAGGAGTAGTTGTATTCTGTTAAGGCAGACATTTGTCTGTCTGTATCATCAGGACACAATGGGGCAATTCTGAAGGATATTTTGTTTAAAATTGACATCAGGAGAAGGAAATAATTTATTTTTATTTACTTTTATTGTATTTTAATTAAGATCACAGCATTGTGCCAAGGTGCATAACTACTGGAACACTGTTTCTTAAAGTGCTTGCAGTTTATTACACTTTCACTATGTCTGGGTGTTTGAATATGAATTTTTAATGCCTGTATAATCTACATTTAAATCTACCCTAAGGTGGTTAAATTGGAAATATCACAGAGTATGCAATGATAAAGGAGTGCCTCAAAAAATTCAATAAATCTATTACAGCAATAAACCTAAGAGGAAGGCCATATCATTCTTATCAGGGATTGCAATTTGCTGGTCAAATACCTTGAAACGGAGTAGTGGACAAGCTGTTCTAACAGATCGTACATTCTGTGTTTAATATGTTGCATATTACAGAACACAAGAAATGAAGAAAATAGTTCAAGTCTGTGTGGGCCGATCTTTACAGGCAGAAAGCGTAGTGACATCGTTTGTGTTGACGTAAAGTGAGCCGCGCGTTCTCTCTGTCCCCTCCCTCTGCTGTTGTTAAAGAACAGTCTGGTTGGCTGAAACGGAGAAACGAGAAGTCTGATTGGTTGATGCAACAAATCGAGCAGCGTGATTGGCTTAGGCCTGGAAAAGATGGTTTGGGATCCTCGATGTACAGGCCGCAGTAGTGCTACCGTTGGAAAAATAATGATAATAAATTGCAACAGATTCGAGGGGATCCGAAACGCATCAGCACATTGAAGGCAGTCGGGCAATAGGTAAAGCATTTTGAGTTTGTGCGTCGTGTGTATAAAATTGTAGCCGTCGGCCTTCATGGGCCTGGCTGATCCCTCTGTTTTGCTCAAGCGCCAGGATGCGTTTTAATGCGCAGGAACATGCGTAAATTTAGTTCATACAACAACTGCGCAACACGTTTGTGGCGCATTAACTGGCCAGTTACGAGAAGTCACTGAAGATGTATACACGTTGCATTGTTGTATGAAATAATGGATTTTGTTAGACTCATTACGGGTTGACATGGTAGTTAGCTAATGCTATTAGCCCATTAGCATGTAGTGTAATGGCGGAGAGCAAGATGGCGCACTTACGCAGCTGCAATTGCGCAAGCATTAAACTACGTTTAGGCTGATTTCTAAGAGATTATCTAAACAAAATTTGGTAGCGTCATGCAACATATTGTGTCAGGCTGTTAAGAGTACACATACATTGAAACCATACAAACTTTGTGATTTGAAAACTCTTTTTCGCATTCTCCAGTATGCTTGCTCATGAAACCTACTACGATAAAGGCTTACCTCATGAATATTAATAAGTCTCACCAACGTTGCTTGGTAACTGTAGCAGTTAAACTCGCGTAACAAATTAATATTCATTAGTTATAGATCAAATAAAGGTCCAAACAAAACATGGCACAGTAGATCTGTGAATAACAATAATAATGAAATACATTAATCAAATATACAACATAACCTTAACCGGAAATGAGCAATTTGACGTATCATTAGCCAAGCCTTGGTCGTAGTAGCGTTTAGTTAAAAAAAAAAAAATAGTAGCGTTTAGTTTACATGACGACTGCCATGAGCGTTGCACTGACAACAGTTTAGATTCTGCGTCCATTAAAAAGTTACAGTTGTGTATTTATAGTAGACTTCCTTTTCAAAATTAGTTATGACGTCACGTTGGAAATCCCCTGACAGAATTGTTATACTGTCTGATTTACTGTCTGTAATTACAAAGGGCCCCTGTTTAATATTATATTACAATTGTAAAAATTTTTGAATATGATTTGATTGACATTTATTTATTTTTAGCCTTCCGAATCATTGTAGTTTTAGTCGACTAAAGTCTTGACATTTTAGTGCATTTTGATAATTTGGTATAGGCAATACGATTAATAATTATTCCAATCCATCCACTGCATTGCAAAATCACATTATTTTCTCCACCTTATTATTATTATTTTTTCTCATTACGATGTCTCTGTATTATGTTTGTCAGCACTGCAGTGTTGGTCAGAGTACTGTATGACTGACCATTAAAGCTCAACCATTCAAACTTTACCTTTTTATGTAGTATTTTTGCATCATAAAACACTAAGTAGACAAAGTTTCTAACATTTAAACATGCTCATGTTGTATTTGGAACTACATTACATTGGTAAACTACGATCAGGATTTTTATTATATCAAACATGTTCTTATGTAGCATTTTAAAACTACATAATTTTAAATAAGATTTAATCTTTTTAGCTACATTTTAGTCTTTTTTGTCAGAAGTTGCATATTAAAGTAGTCAGTGAGTATGTTTACTTGGACACCAATAGTCTTATTTTAAGGCAAAACTCTGAATCTATAATGTCTGTAATGTAAACACCGATTTGTTTTATAATTTTGTTAATTTAATTTTGTATAATTAATTTTTTTTTTTTTTGTTTACTTATTTTTTGACTAATCCAAAATTAGATTAAGACGTGGAGTATGTTGATTTTAGTCGCATCATTCAAGTGCAGTACAGACATGTACACACCTTAATCAAACTGTTCCGTCATGTAGGATTTTTGACGCATTTTCCAATGGAAATACACACAGCTGTTTGACACTATTCTCTGCATCTACCGAGTCAGTAAAGGACCACAGACACCTGCATTGCGAAATACAGAGGTTTTCTCCCATTTGGCGTGTTGTATCAAATTCTATTAATGGCCAGTTTCCACTGACTGGTACAGTATGGTATGGTACAGGTCACATTTATCAGGCTTGCGTTTCCATTACCAAGGGAACTCTTTTGATGGGCATGGTGTACAACAGGAAGTTTCAGTCGATGTCATTCTCATTCGAATAAATGTCTACAGTAAAGCTGTACAGGTCACATATTATATGAGAAGCCTTTCCCACAAAACAGATGCTTTACACATATAAATACTTGTGTATAAATGTTTATTAATAACTTTTCTATAAACATATTTGATTATAACTGCAGATCAATGAGTGCGAAATAGCCTACTGTAACGTCTGCACTTATATAAAATAAATAAATGAACATATATGAACACATACAGCCCCTTACAGTCTCTGATATGTTATTAATTACAAATAAACTACACCAGCATACATTTAGTCCTTATTTGGGTTAAAAAGCAACACGCAACATAGCCCACAGTCAGTGCAAACCTCTCATCTGTGTCTGTAATTTTCACCAGCATATGTAGCCTCTGTTAGAAAGTAATTCCATCATTCAGAGTTCATAATAGTCCAAAAGGCGATGATAAACATGGCAGTTTGTTCATGATTCAGGTTGCTGAAACAATTTGCTCCTGTTTTATCGGGCTTCTCCTTTTTTTGTGCGTCACTCTCGCATTGTCCTTTTCTTTACTGAAAGGGTCAGATGATGGAGACACTTCAATAATCCCACACATTATTATCATCAGCTCAAGTAGTTCATTATTTTTTTAATATAGACGCGATCGCAAGCTCCCTGGAGAAAGCAAAAACCGCTCTCACTTTTAGACGGCCTTGTAAAACAACAACAGGACACGGCAGATTTTGTTCTTCTTGGCTGTGTGGCTGTACATCAAAACAACGACAAGGTTTGTTTGAGCTCGGGTCAACCGTGACTTGTTATTTTGTGCATATAGTATTACGATGTAATGTCTCGGCTGTGTATTTAAAACATAGAGGTTCCTTTCTTTTCATTCTGGCTAGCTCCACGAGCTCATAACGTAGGTCTGTAACCAATCAGCGTTCAGCTGCACGTGTAGCTCCTCCTTTTGGTACCCTGTCTTGTGTTTGGTACCCTTTCGAAAGTTTGCCGAAAAAGTGGTATGGTTCAGTTCGATACGCCTTTTGACAGTGGAAACAGCCATAAAAGCATACCGTACCACTTAGTGGAAACGGGCCATAAAACAACACTCTTCCAGCAGTTCATACTCTGATCCAATATCTCGTTCGTCACGGCAGGCATGCATGAAATGTTCCTGAATAAAAGCAAAAGTGCCAAACTGCAGTTAAAGTTGACAAATTAAAAATGAAACACCTGAAATTACATTAAACGCATGGTGACGCAATGACCTTAATCGAATTATGTGCTATAACATGTAAAATGGGATCATAATAGGAACTTTCAAATAGCAAACACTTAATATTATTGTCTTGTTCAGATTAGGGCAAATAATTCAATTACTGATGTCTATGTAAACCTAGTCACTGTTAATATCCAATAATACCTGCGTCGTCCCATCTTCATCTCATCGTAGTTTTGGAAAAAAGTTCATCAACAGATATTTTTTGCGTTATTTTCTTTAACACAATTATCACTGCTTGACAAATACTGTAGCAAATGTATTGGTCATCATTACTTAATGTGCTTATTTTATTGTCATCTGTTATCATTAAATAAAGTTTTGCATAAAACTAAAATAGTAGTGACTGTTTACCCAATAATTTTAACCAGAACAAAAACTTACAAAAGTCTAATGCTGAGTTCAGACTGCATGATTTTAGCCCAGACTTTGACTCGCTGACAGGTTTTGAGAAATCGCAGATGAATGCCTGAAATCACGGGCAAATCGGTGCTTGTGTAAGCGAGTAACAAACACACAGCGTGAACTATTAAAGACGTGATCTGAGAGAATCACAGATGAGTCGCTGATATGCGTAAGATATTTGACATGCTAAATATATGGAGCGGTTGGCGATTAAAATCTTGCCGTGTAAATGTGGTTTGGTTGAAAATAACATCGGCGATTACCTACAGTTAATGAGAGAGCAGCATTCAATAGTATGGGTACCTGCAGGCCAGCGGGAGAATGGGGAAGAAGTAAAAAGTGCTTCTTTTCAGACTATTTGGACCCAAGAATTTGAGGAAACTAGTGTCAATTTTGCAGAAACACAAGTGTCTGTTTGACGTGTCATCTAAGCAATATCACAACCAGGTCAAAAAAGAAAAAAAAGTTGTGAGGAAATTGCTAAATCCCTTAAAGAGCCAGGTGAGCAAAATAAGTACATTTTCTACCCCACTAAAGGATTCTTTCCCATTATGTAGATAACAACTAAAGATACACTACGTGACCTCGCTTTGTTTCCATGTAACTTTTCGCATGGTTTGCGGACCGAGACAAAGTTGTCTGCGATTCTCCAAACACCTTATTGCATCTTGCAGTGTAAACAAAGCAGCGACGAAACGCAACCCCAGATAGTCATGCAGTGTGATATGACCACTTTGAAAATCATGCAGTTTGAACTTGGCATAGGTCACCCACAGTTGACAGAGTAACTGCTGCATGCAAAAGACTCAATTGCAATAAATTTTATTAGATTTGTTTTAATGTTTGTACATGATGTAGTTTGTTAATGTAGTCATATCTAAAAGCATTAGAAGATATGGTTTGGTTAAAAATGTTATAAATCTTTCTGCTGCATCAATCCCTGCTGCATTTCAAATTATGCTTTTCAAATTGCGAGTTGATTTTCAGGTTTGGGTAATGTCCATTTAATGAACTGAAACAAATCATTTTAAATAATATGGTTGTGCAACAGTTAATATCCGTATTTATATGATATGCTTCAATCAGCTCTCAACCTCCCAAGGTTGTGAATCGGTTAGGTTGAAAAATAAGTTAGTTGTAGATAAATTGAGACACTGGGCAGTTAGGGGAAATTATGAGCTTGGTTTATTAGACATTGGGACGCTGAGAGTGACAGAAATTCATAACAAGATGAATAACACAACTCATATTTTTCACATAAATTTGATCAAGTTTTAAAAAGTATTTTACAGATTTATCATTTTATTGTTTCATGTACCAGCAACATTTCAATCATTAATCACTTATAAATGTTTTCTACATTGTTCTGTGCCTAACTATGTTCATTTATAATTAAAAATAGATGGGTGGTTCATTCCGCCCGGGCGACCCCGGATTAATAAAGGGACTAAGCCGACAAGAAAATGAATGAATGGATGAATGAATGAATATAAATAAATGATTATATTAATTAAAAAATTGTAGATAATTTGATTCATTATTCATAATCAAATAAAAAGCAAATGAGAAGGGTCTTGAAGGAGGCGGGACATATCAGATACTAAACTGATTGGTTATGATTTAATGAGGAGTCTGACGTAATGTGAATAAAATTGTTGACCCATTTAGGCGCAAGTGACAAACTACAACCCTTACATGTTTTACATCTCCTAAACATGGATTTTGTCACTGTTTTGGAGCACACTAGCTTATCGATATTTTACTAATACTAGCATCAAACATCTACATTCCCTGGTTTTTATGGTGCCTTGGGATTTTTCACAGAGGAAAAATTTTGATGCACTAAAAGAATTTTGTAGTTGAGACAGCCCTCATAATATCTGGCTTTTTGATCAGTGCCTTGACTATTGAACAAGGACGCTGATTGAGAGAAACTCATACTGAAAACTGAGTGAGTGATATGTTTGATATGTGAATATCTGTATTTGGATTTTTTTGTATTTCCTACAGTACAATATACAGGGGTTAGACAATGAAACTGAAACACCTAGCTTTAGATCATAATATTTTTTAACTATGGTGTATAGCAGGGGTCTTTCTAGAGGTCAAATGGCCTGCAGGGTTTAGCTCCAACTTGCCTCAACACACCTGCCTGGGTGTTTCAAGTGTACCTAGTAAGACCTTGATTAGCTTGTTCAGGTGTATTTCATTAGGGTTGGAGTTAAAATCTGCAGTACACCGGACCTCTAGGAACAAGTTTGGTGATCCCTGGTGTAGAGCCTTGCACATTGTCCTCCAGAATGGTTTGGTTGTGAAGTGCACAAGTATTAGGCCTAGGGAATGCCATGATATTGCAAACCATCACTTAACCACCTTGATGCTGTGTTCATCTTGGTGGTACGATTCTTTGGGGCTTCTCCACACCATGACTCACCCGAATGTGGGAATAACAGTAAAGGTGGACTCATCAGAGAACAATCCATATTTCACATTCTTCACAGCCCAATGTTTTTGCTGCTGGTGCCATTAAAATTGACAATTGCCATTAGCACAAGTGATCAAAGGTTTGACTATAGGAGCCCGGCCGTGGCCTTTATATTGAATCTGTGGAGCTCCCGACGAAGAGTTTTGGTGGAAACGGGAGAGGCACACATTTAATTCTGCAGTGAGTTGGGCTGCTGTGGTTTTATTTATTTTTTGGATAAAATCCAGTTTAGCACCCAGACTGCCCTTTCAGACTGCTTCCTCTTGCATTCACAGTTACTGCTGTTGGATGTGGTTCAGCCTTTTTGGTGATATGCTGACATTACTCGGGATACTCTGGTTGTTGGGTCACAGATGCGCTAGCAAGACACTCACTAACAATTTGTCCTCTTTTGAACTCTGATATGTCACCCATAATTGTGTGTGTATTGCAATACTTGGAAGTAAAACTGTCCTATTTTTCTGCTACTTATACCTAATTAAACCCTGTGGTTTTACTGGTTGAATGTGTATAATGATGATTGGCCACTAGGCTGGTCAAATTTGGCCATAAAACCTCCAACACTAAATTGGCTAGTGTTTCAGTTTCATTGACCAAGCCCTGTATGTTCACAATTTTGTTTGGAAAAACTTGTTTCCAAAGGCCAGTATACACCGAACCAATACTAAACAGCTATCACTGACAAACCCAACTGCGTTGACTCGTGTCTGTTTCCACCTGAACAAAAATGCTGTTTGTGAACACACCAAATGGACAGAAACTGACTTAAACATGAAAATGTGCTGTTCTGGGCCTGTGTGGGAGTATATGTCTCTCTGCACCCGCAGAGAGCAGTACATGTTTTTTACTCACAATGGAAGGCCAGAACTTTTTTGGTGAAAGTGTAAACAAAGCAGTGTTGCAATTATCACAGTAATTGTCATTTATCATGGAGGAATTCACTTCTGCAAATATGCTTGATAACCTAATAATCAATATTGTTTGCAAATATTTGAGAAATGTAGTGAAATTACAGCCGGCTTCTTTTTTTCTGAATTGTTAACTTGCTAAATCACTTTACTATGTCTCTCTTGCTCTAATTCATAGCCAAATAACCAGTCAAATTGCTCTCTTCAGCTGACAGCCGATTCCAATTTGACCTAATCACCATTGAGTTCCAGTGAGAGTCAATGTGCGTAACACACCAAACAAACTAGGTGGACAGATGACGACCAATAGACCAATAATGACCAACCGTCTACATGCTGTGTCCTGGCCTTAAAGTTGCGGTCACACTGGGCTTTTCCTCACATAGACTTCCATTCATATGCACGCAAATGCGTCAGACCGGAAACGCAGGGTCATGCGTCAAGTTTCACAGGTTTTTGTGGTGCAAAGTTCAAGCTTGGTGAACTCTGACCTGCGAAATCACATCACTTGACAGCGTGAGATCAATCGAGGATCAAAACATGACATCTCTGGACAGAAATTTAAAACATGGAGCAACCGCTCGCTTTTTTAAATGTCTAATCTGTTTTAATCCTGCCCCTCTTTCGCAGCGCCACATGACAGAATACTGCATGCTCAAACTTTAATGTGACTGCAGCTTTAGTCTGCTAAAATAATTTGTTAAGTCTATTACACTGGCTTTTAATATTTGAAGGGTGGACTTAATGAAATATAATACCACATTGTTGTACAGAGGGAAAAAAAACAACATTTTATCTGAAGTAACTCACATAATTTATCATGGTTAGCCGGAAAATGTTGGATAAGATTTGGGAGCTTATAGTTTTGTCATAATAATTTTAATAACTATTTTCTTTCTTTGTCTTTGTTTCTTTCAGACATTCTCCTTCCTGATGAGAGCTTCAGGTTTTCTTAAAATTTGTGACACTTTCACGTGAAAGGAACTACTGTCAAATGTGAAGGTTTGTTGGACAGCATTACAAGCTTTTCTTGTTTTACTTGCAGAGCCATGTTTAAGCTAAATTTAAAAGAAATCTTTTTGAAATATGACTCAAGTGGTTATTAACAGTTCTAAATATGAGATATCAGAAATGTGATTGAAGTAGAATTTTTGTCTAGTCCTGTATGCACAAATAAAGTTATGGAGGGAAGCAGTGAGTGACTAAACATTTGTAAAATATTGATGATTACATGTTTGTTAGTTGGTGGTTTGTTAATGGCTAAAAACAAAAAAAAAATCTGTTTTAGATAGTCATTTACATATGTCGTCTAGTTTAGATATGTCGATGCTGTATACTAAGTCTGATTTTCTGCATAGAGCAGTGATGTGGGGCTACCTGTTCGACAATGGAAATTTAGCATGATTTTGGGCTCACTGCTTGAGCTCATTAGTCTGACTGTGGTTATTGATATCTGATGATAAGGCTTTTAATTTATAACACCAAAGCATTTCTCACACTTTCTCTCATTCATGTTCTTCGCATAATAAAACAGAAAATGAAATGTGTTGCAGGTGCTTTTGAAAACATTTGTGCCATTCCAGCTTCAATTCTTACAGCTCGTACGCATCTGCTTTTTGCTTGCTCTTAACATCAGCATTTTTTTATATTGTTTTTCCACATTCAAACCAATCCAAGCAATTTTTACCCACATTGAGCAGAGTCAAATCACCCCCCTGACGTTAGATGGCACTTTGGAAGTCATCAAAAAAAAGTGAAACTCTCATAATATACCCTTCCATACATAACTCCCTCCTGCCAAAAAATTATTGTAGTTATGTTTATCATATAGCTTTTGTGTTCAAACACCAATTAAAAAAAAAAAAAAGCAGCTTCACAGTCAACTTTCATCAATGCATCCACCTATTTTGGGATATGTGCATAAAAAATGGTTGATAGAAATGCTAAGATGCACATAAATTTTAAAAATGCGAATAAAAAAACCTATGCGCATAACTGCGTAGGATAAATGTTTTATTTGATAAGAAAAGATGTGCATAAACTACGATGCAAACACTTTTACTAAACAAATTCTAGTATGCGCATTAAAAAAGTCATGTGATTTTGTTATAAGAGATCATGTGGTGATAAAAATGTGTGTTAATGGACAAACCAGCAGGCTGAGCACATTGTAAATCTGAAATGTTATTTTGGTCATTCTAAAACGCCTTAATCGTTTTAGTATTAGTGTTATTAAATTAATGACTTTCTGAATTGTCAAGATCGTCTGTGCTCAACATCTCATACCTTCAAATGCCACCACGCGTTCATTGCAAGTCAGCATTGTCTTTTGAGGCGCAAGTAATTTTATTAAATAAAGAAAAGATTCACGCAGCTTCTCCTACCTCAGCAAATTCCGTTTTTATTTTTTGATGTTTGGCACCAGTTAATCGGGAAGTGATGATTTTGTTCCTCTTGACTCATTGGATGGAAATGTTGCTTTATTTGCATGTTTTTTATGTGATAGTCCAGTTTTGCACATAAATGTAATTCACAACTTTGAATTAAAAAATAGCTTGTGAAACTGTGATCGCCTAGACCGTTTTGTGCTTGAGCGCCTCCAAGTCATGTGTACTATAACATCGGCAGCTCCAGGCACATGAACATAAGTGCTAATCTCATTGGAAGAGCAGCTTCGGGAATATTTTTTTTTTTATATAACGCTTACACCTGCTGTTTTGTATGTTGGTGTGCATGAACACATTGCAATACCCCGAGCCAAAAGAGATTCATTCAGTCATTCATTTTCTTTTCGGCTTAATCCCTTTATTAATCTGGGGTCGCTACAGTGGAATAAGCCGCCAATTTATCCAGCATATTTTTTTACACAGCGGATACCCTTCCTGCTGCAAATCATCACTGGGAAACATCCATACACACTCATTCTCACGCATACGGACAATTTAGCTTACCCATTTCACCTATACCAAATGTCTCTGGACTGTAGGGGAAACCGGAGCACCCGGAGGAAACCCACGCCAACGCAGGGAGAATGTGCAATTTTTACAAAGAAACCCCAGCTGAGGCTTGAACCAGCAACCTTCTTACTGTTAGGCAATCGTGCTACCCACTGTGCTGCCCCGAAAAGAGATTTACAATAAAAAAGTACTTTAAGCATAATATCCCCATTTAATTACATTTTAGATTTTTTTTGTCATTCATCAGTGCAGAATTATCTCATCAGAATTATGATGATTCAGAATAATTCTCAGCTTAATCCCGATACTTGCATGAAAATATTATAGTCCACAGCTCTAATCCTCATATAGCAGTAATTAAGTATTATATATTTTTTCTTTTACAGTGCTGTAGAACTGTCACAGATTATGGATCAAGGTGGAGGGATCCTGGAGCTTCACAAGGACTTGAAGATGCCCCATACAATGATAATGCCAGATTTTGGTAAGGAACTATAAATACAAATCTACTGCTTGCAAGATATTTGACCATTTTTTGGTTATTTTTCTTTAAAAACTGAAAAGGCTTTAACACTGTCTGATCACATAGATTATTAAGAGTAAGGATGTCAAAATAAATCTGATTTAGAATTTTTTATAAAGTTTATAAAAAAAAAAATAAAAAAAACATATTTGAATGCAAAAACCTGCACTCTTAATTTTTGGTGAGTCAAGAGGTGCGAGACAGGATGTAACCTGTTATTTTATTTATTTTTTTATTATTTTTTTATTTTATTTTTTTTATAAACATGCTGCATTTCAGCGTCTAGAATGGTGCTAGACCCCAAACTCTGTGAGATGTGTCATTTCACATCACTTCTCAAATGATGGCTAGTTCTGCATCAGCAAGATAAGCCCGGTGCTATGTGAAACAATATCAGTAATCTAATGCTGCATTTCAGAGACAGAGGTGGGAATTTCATCAGTAAACTGTCCCAATTCCAACTTTAATGTGCTGTAGTCAATTGTACTTTGCAGTTGCATTTTCACCAGGTGTGATGTGAATATTTCATAAAATTTTGTGTTATTGGGTCAGGGCTTGACAGTGCGACCATTCTGCTCGCATTTGCAGCAAAAAATATATGAGCGCAAGCTGGAAAGTTTTAGTCGTACAAGTGCAATTAATATTTATTTTTCTTTTTTTTTTTAAATATTCATTTATTATTATTATTTTAAAAAAATTAATAAGCTTGATTGAGGACTTCATTCACTTTTGGCTATCTCAAGTGCTCTTCACACCAAGTTATGCTATATAATGTTGGAAATCTATTGTGACTGTTGCACATGCTGACGCTATCAGCAACGGCACAAACTGGTTTATTTACTTCATGTCAGTCGGTCTTTATGTTGTTTTGAATAAGTTGCCAAGCAACGCATGGCACTGAACGGTGGCATGTCGCACATCATGCAAGCTTCAGAAAACGTCTACTATTCGGCCATGGATGGCATATCGTGGCACATCCAGTGTAAGACCTAATTCAACACACAGTCTTTACCTGGGCAGCCCGGTTATGTGTTTACGAGAAACTAAGAACACTCAGCCACAGACTCACATGCTCTGCATGCAGACCGACAGAGACGCGCTGGATTCAGAACTGCTGTTCTGACTTTGGATGTAGCTTTGAGAAGAGCGCAAGGACACGAAGAACAAAAAAGCCTTTTACTAAATAGACTGACCCAGTTCATTACTTGAGGTGACAATACATCCTCTTTTTCCCGGACATGTCTGAAATTCTGCTTTCGCTTTCAATACTAATTAATATAATTATCATTATTAGTTTTTGCATTACTTTATACGCAAGCTTTGGCCGGTGCGTCTCAGTCTCTCAGCAGCACCAACACTACAGCAGAGAGAGAGAGCAGATTTGACCTGGATAGTAAGATTTTTTTACTTAAAGGTGCAGTAGGTGATCTTCCACAGTGCTAACAACTTAGCACAAATTTCCGAATCACAGTCCCTCCCCTGCCATCTAGATCCACGCCTCCTTGAACACGAGCACAGCAAAAGAACCCTCTCTCATGTGTTAAAAGCAACTAGTGCTTGTCCGGTAGCGTGCAAGCCAAACTGACATGCTATTTTAGAGTGAATATTTTGAGTTGCACGGTAAACAATAGGGCTGTAACGATACACGATATAAAATCGAAATCGCGACACTCAGATCTACGATCCTGTGTCGCGGTGTAATAAGGAAGGATCGCGACACACCCACCCCGTGATACCTTTCCAATAACGTCACGCGTGCCTGCAAAAGTTGAGCTAATTAACACTTTTTTTCGTTCGACATTACAAGCACTGCTCCGTTTAAGCCCTCGCAATATTTAGCCGGGAGAGCTCGCACGGAGCTCTTAGTAAGGGACCGTCTGAATGTGTCAGGAATATCAAAAACAAAACCAACTTAACCCAGCTTGACAACCGACAACGCCAGAAACATTGCCAATGCTGTCAAAGCGGCCGGATTTTCAGCTCATATACGTTGATTTGCTCACACTGTTAATGTGGCTGCGCAGAGAGGGATGGGCGTTCACCAGATGTCAGGTAACAGCCAAACTTTTCTGTAACCGTGCTGTGCGCTTTCTGTTTGAACCTTTGGGAGTGCTTACTGACAGGTGCGTGAGGTCAGAAAACACGACGAAGCTTTCAGTTAAAATAAACACAGTTTCTATAGTTATAGCCCACTTTATTTAGAGATAAAGGTATATGGCTCTGCATATAATCAGTCTATCTTGCTGGAGTTTATAGCCGTTTCGCTTTACTTCAGGACGCATTAACACCGCTCTGAAGGTCTAATCGTTGTTTTAAGTTATCCAGAGCTGTATGAATATACAAATCTTGAATATCACAATAGTATTAAATATTACAATTGTAACAACACAGACAGCAACACTTTTGCACAATCGATACCCAGCTGATTCAGTCGTTTCATAAGAGGACCAGCCTCTTCTTTTTTCCTTGTCAACATAAAGGCAGTAAGGTGCGCCTTGTTTTCGGCCACTTGTTTAAGTGCAAGGCATACTTAATTTGCGGGATGATAACGTATAACCCGTGCCTACAGACACATTTGCTAAAGAAGCAAAATGGAAGAAGAATATTGCTGTTTGATACAGACCTGTTGATACTAAACCAGCGCTTATGTTGACCTGGATCTGCGTAATAAACGCAACAAATAGGCTTTACTTTTTATTTTACAGCTTAAAGCATGTACGCAGATTAATGCAATATCATATTTAAACAAACTGTTTACAAAAAGTCTACATATGCGCGCGTGTTGTTGTCTTTTCATCAGGCAGCGCGCGCACTTGAACCGCAAGGGAGAGAGAGGAAAGCATAGGCTATATCAGGACATATTCTTTAAAATAAGGATTTCTATTAAAATGTAAAAGGTTTTGTGATTATAATAATAACAGCGGGGCATTAAATAAATGCATATTTTCCGTGGAGCAAGCAATTTGAGGAAGTCTGCGATTTTTATTTGACGGAAGAAATAAACATATGATTGGAAAAAAAGCCTATGCCGGTTATTAAAAAGAATCAGTCAGTATTTTCGTTTTGTAAAATAAATTAATTATTTAAGTGAAAATAATTTAGGGCATTCCTATTTATTTTATTCATTTTATTTAGATTATTCTGCTCTTCTGTGCTAAACACTGCAGGTGCATGAAGATGTTGTTCTGTTCCGCTATTAATATATAAAAATAAATCAGTATTTTAAAATGCAATAATAAAAATAGACACGTCAATTTGTTTAATATAAAATTAATAGTAATCTGACCAGTTAACCGTTAATAACCGATTAATGAGCGGCGGTTGTCGGTTAGCAAAATTAACGAAATGAGCATCCCTAGCTATTTAATTTACTTTTTCTATGCAAGACAACTTGATTGAAAAATAATTTTCAACATACTTGAACCATCTAAACAATGGAGTTTAGTTTGGTTTTTCAACAGTATTTTGTTACAAAGAAAACAGAAGTGATATAGCTTTGGCTATTTATTTATTTTATATATGGCTATTTATATTGTTAATAATTTGCATAGTTAATATTGTTCTTTTATGTTTAGTTTATAAAGATTTTTCAAATGTTATTTAATTAAAAATAGTTTTAAAAATCTTTTTTTTTCCCACCCCACACGAAAAAAATAAAATAAAAAATCGTGATACGAATCGAATCGTAGGTCAAAAATCGTGATACGAACCGAATCGTGGGTTTGGTGTATCGTTACAGCCCTAGTAAACAATATTGTCCCTTATAAAACTGAAAATAGCCTTAGCTACTAAAATCTTCCGATTAAAAATTGATGAGCAACTCTTCTGTAAAGATTTAACCCATTTGTAACAACAACATCTAACGTTACATCAGCTTTGCATGAAGCTAGAACAGTTTTAAAACAGAACATTACCTGTCTAAGAGAAATCCGTCAGCCATTGTGTCATCCTTTCTCCAGCGTGCAAAGGTAACTTAAATATTGATTAAGGTTTTTAAAAAGTTTTGATTCAGCAGGTTTTTACCGATCGCGTGCACGTGCTCTCTTTCTCGTGAATGCGCAGCACAAACAGCGATCGGCGGTGCTGCGTACAAACAGCTGCACAGTTGTTCAAATCTGCATTTGCTGACAGACAATTTGACCTACTTATCTGAATTATGAGAGATGTCAGCCTGACTTTATTTAATTGGATGAACATTTTTTAGTTTTATACCTTACCCAAAATATAAAAATACATATAAACACATTTAGATCATTTACTTTAATCATTACTATTGGACTGTGAAGAGACTTTCAACCAGCACAACAAAAAATGCTTCTGAGCACAATCAACTATTGCACCTTTAAACACACTGAAAAGAAACACAGTGTCTTGTAAAAGGTGTTAAATGCTAAGATTTTTTTATTTATTTATTTGTCTGTTAAATAAGAATAAGAAGTCAGTAAGAAAATCTACTGTTGCTGAGGGCCATTAAAAGTTTAATAGAAAAGATAGTATTGCTTTGGGGCTCAAGGAAACTTTAATTCATTGAGGCATTCCCATATTCAGCTCTTCTTTAAAAAGCCCAGAAAGATAAAGTGCTCAGATAAACAGTGTCAGCTTTGCACATAAGTGTGTCGTTGTGTCTTTCTTTACATTGTCGTACTTTTCCCATGTGGGAAGTAGGGTGGAATCGGTGGGATATATTATACAAATAAATTAATTTTGATAATTCAAATTATTCTTGTCACATTATTTTATGTGCTGTGGAGAAAAGGCGTGTTTCAATCCAGCTACTGCAAGTATATTTTATAGTATATTAAAGGCCATATGTACAATATATTTTATTCTAAAATTCTAAAAGCTAAATTTTATAAAGCTTAAATTATAAATAATTATCAAACGCTTTTTAAGCTGTTGTTACAGTAAAATAAAACCATTTGTACCTATTGTATTCAAATGAATGAAACTGCTTTGCTTCTAAAGCTCTTATTTACATTTTTCAGGCAAAAACACTTTCACTGCGCTACCAAAATTCTTTAATGTGCTCCTAAATTTTTCAACTTAGAAGTGCATGTGGTCTCTCTAAAAAAGTAAGCGTCAAGCTTTGTGTGTTCTGGACTGCGATGTAAACATAAGGGTGCTTTCACACCTAGACATTTGTTTTGGAACCTGGCACATTTGCCCTGTTAACGCAGTTCATTTGGGCATATGTGAAACGCCCACTTGCGCTCTGATCTGCGCCAAAACAATTGGTCCAAGAGTGCGTGAATGAGGTTGTCTTGGCTTAGTTGAAAATAACTCTGGAATGATGAGGAGGGCAAGATATCATTGCTACTGGTAAAAGTATGTGTTATGTTGAATACAAAAGTGAAAGTATGCTATTGCTAAATATGCTATAACTATTAACAAAAATAAATCCTAACGTGACTACTGATATAGAATAGGTTTTTGAACTATGTCACCCATAATCTTGTGTGCATTGCAATATTTGATACAGAACGGTTCTATTACTCTGCTAATTAATCCTTTACACTCCGCTGTTATTGGTGAAATGTGCAATCAGTGTAGACTGGCCACCAGGCTGGTCAAATTTTGTCATAAAACATCCAACTTTACCTCCAACCCCTGTATATTCCTGCAAGGATTTTCAACATTTTTAACCCTTGGAAACCGTTATGGCGTAATCACGTTCTGTGAATCATAACACTAGACACTGTATGTCTCACCTTGTGACATCACAAAGCGTGTGTCATTTGTTGTTTTTGCTAACCATAGCTGTTAGCAAACCCTGCCTTCCACTAATTTTTTCTTCACTCTCCTATTGGTGAAGTTTTTTTTCCCTCTCCGCTGTCGCCACTGGCTTGCATGGTTCAGGATCTGAAAAGCTACTCATCTATGAATTTGCTTCTATCTGTTGCTTTGTTTTTTTTTTTCAAATACACACACACAATCTCAAAAATTGACATTTATAAATGCATGTACAATCACACAAAGCAAAGCAACACAATATTTACTAAAATAAATTAATCTGCTTGTGCAATAAACGAAATACTGGAGAAAAAAACACTTTAGTTAAAATAAAACAGATTTGTATATAAAAATGCAATACTTTATTAGCAAATTTACATTCACTTACCCTCTCAGAACAAAGGCCTGATACAGAACAGTCCTTTTCACGCATAGAATCAAAGTACAAACAATCAAAACAAAAAAGGAAAAACAAAAAAAATCTTGTTTAACACACATATGGCAGTGTGTATTTTTGTATGTAGACATATTGCTCATTTTGATATTATTGCAGGCATGAGTGGCATAGCCCACCTTGATGGTGAGCACATTGTGGTGTCGGTGCCAGAGGCTGTGATGGTGTCAGATGTGGTGACAGATGAAGAAGGCATCATGTTGGAGACTGCCCTAGAAGCTGAAGTTGTAGAAGAGCCTGACATCTGTCAAGAGGACGTCATCACCACAGAGGGAGTGATCATGTCGGAGTCGATCCTTGGAGCTGAAGTGGCCATCCAAGAGGCTCTGAGTGGCACTGCGGATCTGATTGAAGAAACCGTGCCTGATCAGGTGTTTGTGGCTGAGCTCATGTCACCTCACATTCAAAGCCCACTGGACCACAACCTGGTGTCTGCAGAAGTCATGGTGACAGACGCGGACACGGTCATTGACTCGCACGACACCCTGCAGTCTGATGTCACCATTAAAGCAGATGATGATGAGGAGGATGTGAAAAGCACTTCAGAAGACTACCTTATGATTTCCTGTGAGTTTGCAGTTGCATGCTAGCTTTGATAGGTGCATAAATTCAATCAATCGAATCTACTGCAATGTTTGATCTTTGGCCTTTTTTGCAGTGGATGAAGTAGGGGGAAAGCTTGACATTGAAGACACCTCTTTAAAGATCAGTGCAGATGTCGGCCAAGATGATGACGGCTCAAAGGAGGATGAGTTCAGCTCGGAGGTCATAAAAGTTTACATCTTTAAAGCAGATGGAGATGAAGATGTGGAAATAGGTAAGAAGATCATTTCAAATCTTTGCTGAATGCATAGTTCTGTTGACCCAAAAATGAAAAATAGCGTTTTGCTCACCCTTAAGTCATCTGAGATATATGTTTTTTTTCTTCTGTAGGACAATAAAGAATTTTAGCTGCAACTCTCGTCATTGGTGATTCAAACCATACAAGTCAGTATTAGGGATGCTCTGATCGATCGGTCAGAGATCGGTATCTGCCGATAATCATATTTCATGACTCAAACGGTACTTGCTGATCTGAACTCATGAACTGAAGTGTTTGTTTTTGAGTTTATAAGCAGAGTAAGGCCGTACTCACACTAGGTACAGTTGCCTCGAACCGGGCCAAAGCACGCTTGTCCCCCCTCCCGTCTCCCCCGACGGCCCGCGCTCACACCATATCGGGCCTCGGCACGCTTACGTCATCGCTGCTGCGCTGTTCAGAAGCGCTCTCTATGGCAAGCCTTTTTAGCATTTAAATCTTTGTTCTGACTCCATAAATATATTTAGAGATATCTCTAATTATATTTTGACTAGTCATAATTATAATTCGACTAGTCAGAATAACAATTAGAGATATCTGCAATTACAATTGTACTAGTGCGAAATCAGATTGGAGATATCTGCAAATATATTATGACTAGTCATATTCCTCCATTGACTTCCATTAAAAAATATTTGCAGATATCTCTAAATGAGTTTTGACTAGTCACAATTGTAATTTGAGATATCTCTGAGTTTTTACTAGTCATAATACATTTGGAGATGTCTTTAATTCATCATATTTAGAGATATTTACAAATATATTTGAAGATCTCTAATTAATTCACTAATAGTCGAATTACAGTTGTAGATATCTTAAATTGGATTTTAAAATTTTAAAATTGGAAGTAAAAACTAAGAGATATCTGCAAATATTTTTTCAATGGAAGTCAATGGAGGAATATGACTAGTCATTATATATTTGCAGATATCTCCAATCTGATTTCGTACTAGTACAATTGTAATTGCAGATATCTCTAATTGTCATTCTGACTAGTCGAATTATAATTATGACTAGTCAAAATATAATTAGAGATATCTCTAAATATATTTATGGATAGTCAGAACAAGGTTTAAATGCTAAAACGGCTTGCCATACGCTCTCACCCAGTAGCACAGTGGAGATTTCTCTAGTTATATCGTTTCAGTCGTTTGATATGCCGTCAAATATTTCGCCAAACAGTCCTTAGGGATGCGGGGACACGCAGTCAGATATTTCGCTGAACAGATCCACCACTTTTGGCGCTCATAAACAATCATAAAGCTCTCGTGCTGCAGGAATGAGGAGGTCTGCTGAAGGCGCGCAGCTGGCGTGCTGTGAGGAGTTTGCGTCTTTAATAAACTACGGCAGTTTGCATTCACTGAACAATAAGAATGATTAATAAATCCATATCAAACAGTCCCTTAAAAGTCACGTCTCACTTTCGGTTTCGGGCTTTGGCGCGTTTTGCGCTCACATACAAGCGTACCGCGCCAAAGCCCAAGTGTACCGCGCTCAGGCACACCTCTTCCAACCGGGCCAGGGCCGGCCAAGTGAACCGTGCTTGAGCGCGATTCAGCGCACTCACACTTCTCAAACGATCCGGGAAACGGGCCTGGGCACGGTACGGATGGCATAGTGTGAGTAGGCCCTAAGAGGCAGGTGCAAACTAGGGTTGGATATTGTTTGGGTTTATTTCAATACCAGTGTTAAATCGTTACTTTTAAAATGATACCAGTGCCAAAACGGTGCCTGAATTGATACTTTTGAGCCACAAAATTATGGTGGACGACTCTAGAAAAATCTTTTATTTGACAAAATATTTTAAAAAATAATTTTATTGGAACGATATAATTAAGGTTTAAAGTAAGGTTTAAAGTTTAAAGTAAAGGTTTAAAGTTTTCAGTTCATTCCTCTATGAATCTTTAAAATCTCTTTGCAAGGGATCGTACAGGTGTGGTCTGTACTAGCTCTGCTTCTTGACCCTTCACTGTATTCATGTGACTGGTGTTGTTGTTTTGGATGCACACCTTATCAGCCCATATGTTTTCTATGAGTGTGCACACTGCATTTGATGTCTATCCTGGGGAAAATACAAAAAAAATTGTAAAGATGTGGCATGCCACAGTACTGGATCCTGTTTGTCTTTTACCTTTACAAACATCTTTTTGCCCTCATATGAAGAAAAAAAAACTTCCTTTGAAGTATACTGGGGCCATTAGTATTATGACCATCTGCAGTCAGAGGCGGCACAACATTTTTGACACAGATGGCTGCCACATATTTCTTTTCAAGACGCCTTGAACTAACTGGAATTGTGCTATTTTATATTGTGTTAACATAAGCTAGTTCTTATAATGTGCCGGATGGGACCTGCAATACCTTGCAGTGTCAACCGAAGCATTATTTTTTTACTGAGCCAAGCATGTTTTTTGTTCTTTTAAAAAATAGTGCTATAAAAATAGTGTATTTTTAAAACACCAGTAGCATAGTAAAGCACTCAATGTCACTTTTGAACCATTCAATGACAGTAAAGGAGGACAAGACAAGTACCACACAGTTCAGCATTCGCTACATCTGTGCAGCAGTAATGCAGTCAATACACCAACCTATTGTGGTCATGATTTACGGCTCAGTGTATGTTCCTACCTTATGACCAAAAGGGCAAGATCTCGCATACAAGCAGCCAAAATGAGTTTCCTTTTCAGGGTGGCAGGGTGCATCCTTACAGATAGGGTGAAGAGCTCTGTAAACCCTGGAAGAGCTTGGAGTAGAGCTGCAGCTCCTCTACGTCAAGAGATTTATAACAAAACGGAGCCTATAACATTACTGCCTCCTTTTAATTTTATTAAAAATATGAAACATACCCCATCTCTTTTGCTGAATATCAGTTTAAATAATCAGTAATGGATTGTTATAAAAGTATAACGCACAATAACTTTAAACAATATAGGAAATATAGGCAAGCAATCAGTCAAATGTGCAGAATCAGTGGACGTGGTTACATTAATTAATATATTAACTGCTGTACGTTTTCAGCAGTGTAGTGTGGACTGAGAGTTGTTCAGAAACGCTAGGTGAAACGCCAGTGTGGACGTGGATCGTTTTTATTCTAAAACGCTATTTTAAAACTAGAACGTATTCCTATAAACGGGACCTTTTTGTCTGTCGGCTTGCCTTTGAATGCTTTGGGGTCCCCTGGAGGAGCTGGAGGTCTGGGGAGAGGAACGTTCTCCTGATATTGCTGGCCACAGATAAGCAGAAGAAAACGAGATGTGATTTATTTTTAAATTTTTTTTAAAGTGTAAATTCCATCAAATGTTTTATTTCCCCTTTTGACAATCTTAAGGTTATGTGAAGGTTATCCATTCTATTGTCAGATACCACTGTCACTTGGTTGCACTCACCGACTGTCGTTTTTTGATTTTAGTAATGTGCCTATAGTAATAAAGCATAAAACAACAACTTCAATGGTTTTGGACTTGAGCACCAATTAAACCAATCAAGCACCTTTGTGATGAAAAAATGTCCTTGCATTACATGACATCTCTGCATTAATATATTAGGCAAGCATTCACTTTGTTTGTTGTCACTATTTTTATTTAGATTTTTAGTTTGGTGAAGAGGAGACAGCAATGGCAATGTTGCCTAACTCAAACATTACGTATGTATGCATGAGATGCATTAACAGAAGCGCTGCAGGTGAAATCATGACATTGTTTATGCGGGTATTATTGATTGCAAATACATGATCTATACAGTATTTAGCCTAATGATGAGCAAACAAGTTTATCAAAAGTTAACTGAAATTTCCTTCTAAAGTCTTTTGTTCAGTTGATAATGCATTTTGTAATATTGTAATATTGTTTTCTGCTAACACTTTAGGAAAAAGATTTACCATTCATCTGCTTTGTGTGTTGTTAAATGTTAAATTCCACTCTGCCCATCTTTTTTCATAATTAGAAGATGCAGCTTATCAAGTTCATAATTAAAAAGTGAGTTGAAACCAAGATGATTATATCCCATAATAAAAAAAAAAATAGACACTATCTATACAGTTGCCTTTTTAACAAGCTTTAACATTTTTTTCTCCATTTTTAGGGCTACTTTCACTAGGCATTTTGGATGTATTTCAGGGTGTTTTTGTAGTCTGCTGCCTATGTCAGTCAGAAGCACAGGATGGAGTACAAGTCAGATAAAATATGAGGCAATGCTCATTTCAATTTGAATGTAGCTGTTGTAATGACTTTATGACGAGAGCTCAATAATTCAAAATTAATGTTCAATAATAATACAGCAGTCATACACATTTTTACTACTAAACATGACTTCTATGATTTTCAGGTAAATAATCATGAACTAATGTTTTATATATATATAAAATGAGAAAAAGGAACATAGAAATGAATTAACTAATTAAAATATAATATAAAGATAATTCTTTCTCAACACTTTCCGATAAAATAATGATGACAGCATGTGATCAGTCAAACACATAAAAGAAGTGGTTGCAACCACATTCTCTCCTCGTGAATCACATTTAAACACTCACTATTACAATAATAACAATAGAAAATTAAAAACAAGTGGTAGAACTAAACTTCAATTCGTTCAAGTGACGAGATGACAAATAAAACATGACAAACCATTTAGAATGCAAATTAAAAAATGTTTTATAAAAACTCTATTTTAATTATAACTAAACACTAAAAGGGAGGCTAAGTCAAATAAGCAACTATTTTCTAAAAATAAATATTTCAGTTTGGCTAAATCTGGATAATTCATTTCGGCAAAAATGTAAGTTAAAAGCTGAAGAATTCCATGTGAGCTCAGGAGCCCTACTAGTTCTACTCACTCTATGTATAGATCTTCTGGGAATTTCCATATTAGGGTTAAAGTGAAACCAGAAACAACAAGTCAAAAAGTCAAGAAGACAGGTTTTGTCATCATAAACAGTGGAACCGAACATAACTATAACA